CAAGCTGGAGGGCGCCCCCGCCGGCTACAAGGTGGTGATCCCGCAGCTTACTTAATATTTTATTTTCTCACGGAAACACGCTCGGCCCGGCTGACCTGAGTGCCGGCCGGGGCTAAGAAACCACGGCGCGGGCTGGGGGAGGAGGGTGGAAAGGCTTAGAAACGGCGGCGTGGCGCCGGATCCTGTTTTCTTAATGCCCGAAATACACTGTACTTCCAGCCTGCTGTGAAAACAGCTCACCAGCAGCCCAGCGCATCTCGTTGACTCGGCCGAGAGGTGCGAGTATTCTGCGAGGACGCATGCTGTTTCACGCCCTCTGCTCTGCAGCTTCGCTCACGACACCGCTGCTGATCAGCGGCGGCATGTGGCGACCGGCACGAGCGCACACGCGAATGCAGCAAGGCTACGAGGAGGCCTTCGGCGAGTACGGCGGCCAGTCCGGCGGCGGCGAACAGCGGCAGTACCTGTACGACTCGCCGCAAGACTACTACGACGCCTCCAGTAGCTTCAACCAGCGGCAAGACGACTACTACACCGGATCGCTGCAGGCCGGCGGCGGCGGGCAGGCCTACAGCGGCGAGGGGCAGGTCTGGGTGCTCCACCCGCTACGAGGTGCCGAGGGATAGCCTCTCCAAGCACACAGCAGTCCTTCTCGGGACCTCTTCTTGGCACCTCCTGCAGGCGTGCGCGGCTTCTCGAATGCGCTGGCGTGCGACCCGGCCAGAGACTACTCCGCCCCTCCGTACGCGCTGCGGCGCGGCGAGGAGCACGTGCTGAGCCGGTGGAACATGGAGCGGCAGCGGCTGACGGTGTCGCGGATGCAGTGCGTGGTTGGCGTGGCGGAGGACGGGGCGGCGTACGTCACGTCGCACGGTAGAGGGCCAACCTACTGGCGAGAGAGCGGAGGGCCGTGGTACGCGCTGGAGCGAGGCGTGAGCGCGCCTCTCGCCGACGGAGACCAGGTCTCCCTCGACTGGCATGACCCCGAGGCCGCCATCTTCGGGTGCCGCGTTGAGGCGGAGGAGCGGCTGGGCGGCGGAGGGCCTCCGGGCGGGTGGGTGGCGCTAGTCGACGAGGCCAGCGGAGCGACGTACTACTATGACGAGGCGACGGGTGCTTCGCAGTGGGAGCCACCCGCGGCGCACCAGTGGAGGTGAGGGTAATTTTGGCGAGTTGGGCGCACGAGGTAGAGCCAGTACAGACCGTGGGGATTGATATCGACTGCAACTTCTGATATTCGCCTTATCGCCGGGGCAAAGCGAATACGGTATATATACAGACTCGTATAGACTTAGAGCGGTGTGTAAAGGCTAGTTCCATTTCACTGTGGCACAGCTCGCGTTACAAAACCTTGCTAATCACCATTTGCGCCATTTTGTCCCTCTCGGTGCCTTCCAGAGGCAGCTGCGACCCCGCCGAGTAGACGGCGTCACACAGCAGGTGGCGCGGTGTGACGCCGTCCACTCGGCTGGGTCGCAGCTGCCTCTGCGCGTCCTGGGGATGTACCTTTGTCGCGCGCCGGAGACGACTCGACGCCGCTGAGATCGGAGATCAAGCTCTGACAGGTCGCACGTCGCTCCTTTGACGCCGACGTGACTCACCCGTGCAGATCACATCAGGACACGGTCTCGACGCGCTCGGTACGACGCCTGCGACCCGTCTCGGGTCAGGTGGCACGACGCTCATCGCGCCTACCAGCGCTGCCGTACAGGTTGCCACGACGAGGTCGAGCACGCTTCTATACGCTCGCCGAGCCTTCCTTTCCATCCCATTTGGCAGCCTGGGAACGGTGGCGGTCAGAGGCAAAGCATACGAGGGGTGGTGGAACCACATGTCACGGCTACTGCCGGCTCGACCCCACGATAGCCTCCGGAGGCTGACTTTGAGGCACAATCATCGGACGACGTCGGCGAGTTGAGTCGCGCTCGCGGTAGCCAGATGACCTCTCATACTAGTATCATCGGCCATGGCCGCAGGAAGCGCGGGGGAGGGCGCTGGGAGCAACACGGAGCTCCGTTGGACGTTTTCAAGATTAGCGTGTCAGAGTGAAATGGAACTAGCCAAAGGCTAAAGCCGTATCTCGCGCGCAATCTCTCGCGGGGACCTTCTTCTAGTTCTACGGACAGCTCTATGAGGCTCTCTCTCACCTCTCTCAGTACTCAGACTCAGTCCTGTGAGAGACAATAAACAAAGTCAACGAAAGAATTCAATCAGTCCCCTCGCACAACCGTGAGCCGACTGGGGATCTTCTGCCTCTCACTTCCGATACAGCCTTTGACCGTGTTGTTTCCGGCTGTGAGTGTGACTCGTCGCCAGCGCGTGGCAGCAGCGGGTCCACCAAACCCGAGGGCCCAACATCCCGCGCCGCGGCACCCGCGTACTCTGCTCGCGGGAAGACGGGCAGCAGCAGGAGCGCCGTGCCGAGCCCCTGCAACGCAGCCGTCAGCAGGAAGGCGGCGCGGTAGCCGTACCGGTCGGCCAGCACGCCGCCTGCCGCGGCCGAGGCGGCCCACGAAACCTTGACCTACGCGGGTGGGCGAGTGGGCGGTGTGTCAAGGACGCACCAAAGGCCGGGCGCTGTCCGGGCGCACAGTCTCGACCAAGTTGCCGCCGACGCCCGCCCAGCGAGCCCGCTGCCTACGGGACACGTCACGGACGTGTCCTGGACCTGTCGCGGCCACGTGTCGCCCGCCGAGCGAGCTCTGCCCAGGCGCCACCGAGTCCATGAGCAGAGCGGACGAGAGGGGGGTGGTGCTGTTGGCCAGCCCGCCGCGCAGCAGGAAGAGAGCCACCGTGAGCGAGAGCCGGAGGGGAGGCGGGTCGCTCGGACTGCCCGCGGGCGAGGCGCCGGCTGCAGCTGAGGAAGGCTCGGCGGCGAGCGAGGGAGCGGCGGCGAGAGGCTGGCGCGAGTCGGCGAGAGGCGACGAGGAGTCGGCCGCGAAGTACATGCCGACCAGCAGGAGGCAGCCCGCCGCCTTGAGGGCGGCCATGGTTGGGACGCGGCCTATGGCACGTCCACG